AAATTTAAATTTAGGCATGCTTTAATTAAAATACCGACAAGTAAACAGGTAAAATGTGTTCAGTTATCGCAGCCACAAGAAGTTGCAATAACAACGTTCTGCAAGCATCGAACAAAAAATTATTGGCTTGACTCAAAGGTAAAAATTGTCATAACTTTCAGTTTTCGAAATTAGAGTAAGGATAAACTTCATTTCATGTATGAAACAAAACATGTGTTATTTTTTTGTTATCCAGAAAGATAGTACAAAACTAAGGAATATATTACAGTTAACATGCATTATTTTTAATTCAATTTTTGTTTTATTTTTGTATTCTAATTACTGAAGCAAAAAAGTCTTCGCATAAGTTGAAAAAATTAATAAAATAAGTTTTTTAGTTTACATTTTTCATCATAAATATTAATGTGGTATGTATTTAATGCCCTAATCCTTTCAGTATTTCAGGTTCTTGCAGATGAGCATATTTGGATACCATTATCGGGAACGAATACCGTAGCAAGCAGTTCGCGAAGCAATGAATGCTACGTTGGTTAGTCAAGTGTGAAACAAAACTTATATGATAAATGTTAATAATATAATTTTCAACACAATTTTGTTGGTTTTTATAACATAATATAAGTGTGTTTATCAGAAACAATTTCATGGGGTGGCAAAAATGTGTGAAGGATATTGTTCCATCTTATTTTCAGCTAATTTTTAGTTATTTAAGTCAAGTTTTTTTTTCTCTGAATACTTAATGAATAAGAATGCTTTTAAGGTAAGCGTGTACTTTTAGGTGAGAAAGAGTGTCGTAAAGTAGGCGAGAAACAAAATTGTGTTGCATGTCGAATTGTAGTGCATTCAGCATGCATATCAATTTTACAGCAAGTTAGTATTTTTGTATTTTTTTAAATTTAATCTAAGATGAATGTGTTTTTGAAGAAGAAAAAAACATGAAATCAAAACACTTTTACGTGAATTATTATTCATAGTTTTGTCTTATTTTTCATAATGATTCTTAATTTTAAACAGAAACTGATAATTTTTGCATTTTATAAACATGTTTTGTGCTTGTTTTAGCTACAGGTGAGTTGTAAAATTACATATCAAGAAGATAAGAAAATTAAGAAGTCAGTGCTTTCGGGAATAATTACTGGACAATCTTCTGAACTTATCGGAAGGCATCATTGGATTCATAAATGGAAACAAAAAGGCCGCTGTTTGCATTGTGATAAATCATTTCAACAAAAAATTTTTTCTGACAAAGTATGAAAATTATTTGATATCAGCAATATTTGTTTACAATTGATTTAATGGTATTATTTACCATTTTAGTGCTAATATTTTATCAAAAAAACGATTCAATTTTGGTTTTCAGCAATAGAACAGCTTTTGTAAAAAAATATTGAATGCCTTGCAGTCTCATTCAAAATAAAAGTAATATAATACAATTAAAATTAATTTTATTGTTTAATTGCATTGAAAATGGTTGGATTGTTTTTAATCTAATTATTGATTAACTATAAAATTACAAAAACGAAACAAGAATTGATTCGAGTATAGGAAATTGGAATTTTTATAGGAAGTGATTGCAGTTACGTGTTCATGGTGCAAACGTTCATACCACAATAAAGTAGAATGTCTCTCCCAAATTTTTGGGAAGCTATGTGATGGTGGTGTTTTGAGAGATATTATCATTCCTCCAGCTTGGATTTGTCGATCTATCTGCAAGACAAAAATTGATAAAAGAAAAAGTATTACATCTGATAAAAATGTATGGGCTGATTTTATACCAATTTATTTTATTTGTTTGACATAAAAAAGCTATAATAAGAGCTCTGTTAATATTAATAATAATTAATAAATAATTAACTAATAAATAATAATAACAATGATAACTTATTCTACAAATGTTGACCATATTTATTGAAACTCTTTAATGATAAGTCTAATTGGTGGATTTGACTATTTGCTATATCAAAAAAAAACTCACTTCATTAAATAATAGCATTTTTCAGCTAAGATTTAATAGTTTTATGCTTTCTTCTGATTTACCTCGTTATTTTTTTATAAACTTGCAGTATTTTAGCAGCTATTTACGGTTAAACCTATGACTATTGATGGTAGCAAATGGCTTCCACATCAACCATTACTTGTGTTTGTCAATCCCAAATCAGGTGGTAATAAAGGTTCAAAGCTATTGCATACTTTTTGTTGGTTATTAAATCCACGTCAAGTATTTGATATTACAACACTTGAAGGACCAGCATTTGGGTTAGTGTTACTTGAAAGCGTTTATTCATAAAGACAAGAAGCAATTTTTTAATCCACTAATGCATGTCTTATTTCATTATGCTCACTGCAGTATCTCTAATTTTTTTTAATTCATATTTTTTTGCTAATTTTTAAAGTTTTGATGATATTTTTTATTTTGTCTGCTATTAGTAATTCAAAATTTAGGCTAAATATGTTCAGACAGCTGGCATCTAATTTACGCGTGCTCGTTTGTGGTGGCGATGGTACAGTTGGCTGGGTTTTAAGTACTCTTGACAAAGTTTGAATTGTTATTTGTTAGATTTCCTGAAGAATAAAAATGACAAAAACCTAATGACTTATTAATGCTTTATAAGGTATTATATATATCAGTTGTAAATCTGACAGCTGTTTATGATAAAAATGTAATAACTGTACATAATTAAAGTTAAAACTGTACTGACAACATTTACAGTTGTTAGTTTTGAAATTTTTTGACTAAATTTGCAGATGAAATGGACTGAATATCCTCCAATTGCTATTGTTCCACTTGGTACAGGCAATGATTTAGCAAGGTGAGTTATATTTTTTTTCAGGCATTTTATTTGATTTATAATATGTGCAATAATTTATTTTATTGTTTGAAGAAGACTTCAAATTTATCCTATATTAATATCCCTTAGTTTGATATTATAGAAAATAAGTGTATAATTAGGATATATTCATTGCTGCTCTGAATGATAATCACTTACCTGAACAGATGCCTTGGTTGGGGTGGTTCGTTTAGCGAAGAACCGTTATCACAGGTGCTTAGTGCTATCATATATGATACATCAACTACATATCTTGATAGGTTATTTTCTATTCTTTTATTTTCATTCTTAAACCCAATTTTAAATATTTATAAATAAATAAAATGTGAAGGTTAGTTTTAATTTTCGCTTTATTGATTCTGACGCTGAATCGTATTTCGGCATTCTGGCAGTACTTGTCGCGCACTCAGATTTGTTGTACTCATCGTTCTCGCTTCCACCTCCTGGAATCCACATCGACTGCCAATGGAGATGCTTTCGAGCGCCTTCTTGAGAGCGATCGATTGAATGTATGCATCCACGTGATCAGATATACTGATCACCTCCGCATAGCGTTTGTGGAAGTTCGTTACAATCCCATCCCAAGTCATCACATACGGAATTATTTTAGTCCTGCATTTCATCTCTGACCCAAGCTTATTACCAAGTAGGTCATATTTTCTCTTTTTCTCAGTCTCGACTGCTGTTAACCTATCCCTGACTAGTGATGCTAACCTCAATCAGGATTACTTCACATTCGCTTCTTATCGTGCATCATGATATCCGGTCGATCCGCTTTTATTCTGATTGCTGTTCTCACTCGCGTATCGACTCTGATCTTAACGTCCTCATTTGCGACGACCTTCTGAACAGAATGACTCCCCACGCGCGGGAATGCTTTCAGACCATACTTCTTGCAGTGTCTCAAGTGGATGCATCGTTGGACCTCATTGTCTCTTCTAGTATAGTCGTAATGTAACATTTTCTGTCACTGCGTTGCTAGATGGTTCACTGTCTTCACGCGTTCCCTACAATGGTGACACATACCTTATTCAGCTTCAAACATATTTCTGTTTTGGAGGTTACAGTATCGTGTTTCATCTTGCTGAGTAATGTTTCCATATCGAAGCCATTTTGATGAATCAAGTCGTCTGAGATTCTACTCGTCCGCATCTTGTGTAGCTTTGCATGGTGGGCTTTCTTTTCTATTTCGCTATACAAGAACACCTTTTGGACTGCTAATACGTTTTCATCGGTAGGATTTTCTGCGAGGTTGTCTTAATCTTTAGATAGGGTACGATAATTGCCAAGTACGTGTTATGAGCTTTCTCCTGTTTCAAAATCGCTGCCCTCTTGGTACCTATGGGCAGGTTATCTACAAGAACATCATGTGGTTAAAAAAGCATAAGCTCACTCTTCTGCTCAACACTATGAAGTGCACGAACTAGTTCGTCCCTTAGCAGGTGCAGTTTTCCAAGCG